TAGACTGACCCACAAGTCAGTGGGTGGTTTGGAGGTTTGCTTGAGGGAATCCACCTGGAGCCTTGGCTCAATAACCTGACCCACAAGGCAGTGGGGAGCGGATCCAGCTCGGTAATGTGATTGCAGAGACAGATTGGGGTCTGCTTGACGGCCGTCACACGAAGCCTTGGAGGTACTGGAACGATTTATTTATCTTTTTCGATCGTAGTAGCATACACCTGCGACCACTTCGAGACGCATATGGGTTTTGGCAGGTTTGCATCAATTTGACTAGGGGCTGCCTGGCTTGAGGCGGGCACTAACAAACCATTGAACACTCGGAGGTGACCTCCCACCGTCAGAGACAATGTGTGGCGCTCGTGCTCTACGCCAATCGAGCTGTGAGCTTAGAACCCGTAGACCTGTTTTCTTCCATGGCTTGGTTTTACGGGAAGAGGGCCATCGACCACTTCCTAACCTCCGAAGAGGATACTGGCATGGCGCCCACACCTGACCGGAGAACGACTCGGGTCCTCAGCCAAAGCCTTGGAGTAAATGTGCACTCGAAAGGCAACGGGTCTAGCACATGATCCGTTCACTGACTCATGCGGATTGGTGTCCTGGATCTTAGCAGAAATAAGGGGGTAACTCAGCTTCCACCCAACGGTCGTCATGAGGAGGCGCCCAGGACATGAGCCAACAGTAGCAGCAGTGGGTAGATCATCTGTCAGGATCTAGCCACCACCAGCCTCAGCGCACCATATGCTCTCCCGCATATATATATGTATATATATATATGAACATCCTTCGTGCTCTATACTCGAACACTACAGGTCGCGTCAGGGTCTACGGTGTCCTATCGCATAGCTTTCCGACCACAAGTGGCGTCCGCCAGGGTTGTCCAATTTCCCCATTTTTGTTCAATTTCATAGTGGATTCTACCGTGGAATGTTCCCTTGTGGAATCTCACGATGTAGGCGTTGAAGTACTGAATGGCGAAAGATTAGTTGATCTTGATTATGCGGACGATATCGTCTTGCTTTTCGACGATGTTGGGACGGCACAATCAACCCTGAATAACCCCTCTAGAGTGGTCCCGTTATTTGGTATGCACTTCGCACCTTCCAAGTGCAAAGTGTTTCTGCAGCACCACCAGCTTCTTGGTGACCCCTTGACGCTTGCTAACGAGGAACTCGAGATGGTTGATCATTTCACTTATCTTGACAGCTGCATCAGCTGTGATGGGCGCATAGAAACTGACGTCAACTCACGCATTGCGAAAGCCAGAGCTGCCTTCTTGAACCTGTGGCATCTTTGGCGACAGAAGGGAGTTTCCCTCCGTCTGAAAGCCGAGTCTACAAGGCTACAGTGAGGCCGTTCTGCTATATGGTAGTGAGACTTGGCCCCTTCAGTCTGAAGATCTGAGGCGCCTTCAAGTCTTTGATCATCGCTGTCTGCGAAGCATTGCTGGTGTCGGATGACACCAGCGTGTCCGCAACGATAATGTGCGTAGGCGAGTACTAGGTATTGATAATCATGCTAGCTCCCTAGAACAACAGATAGCACTGAATAATTTGCGTTGGCTCTGGCACGTGCTACGTATGCCTGGTCACCGCTTACCTAGGAGGGCCTTGTTTAGTCTGCCAGGTGTAGGTGGACAGAAGTTGACTTGGCAGTGGGAAATGAAGTCACTGACGACCAAACTGGGTGCCGTTGGTCCGTCTCGTCTTTCCATTTGGAGTCCAGAGAACTCGTCTTGTTCTTGGCTCGAGACTTTACAAGACATGGCTCGCAACCGACACCAGTGGCGCGTCTGCTGCCGTATCCTAATCGGATTGCTTGTTTGAATTGTGTTTGGTGCTGAGTTAGCCGCAGGGTAATAGCTGATCATAACGCGGAGCAGTGAAAACCGCAAGAAAGCTGCCTCGGCGATGCCGTCTTATCTTTGCACGATAGCCAGCTGCTTGTGACGGTATGTTGTCTACACAAAGTGTAGACGCCTTGACCCTGAATGATTGCTTAGGGTGTTAACATTTTTAGGTAAGTCCCCCTTCTCTCCCTCTTATTCTTTATTTCATAGGTCCTCATGGTTGTATGGCAGCGAAGCATCAGTTCACATGGCTGATATACTGCTGTTTTTGATGATGATTGATGTTTACAATTTTGTCCTAATGATTTTCTTTCTCATATAAATGCCTGCCCATCTTCTATAAACTTGCACACGTCGCTTAAGCCAATTGTAGTTAATTTCGACAACATTTTTGTGTTTGTGGCATTTCCGTAAAATATACTTTCTGACCTCGTGAACTGATCTCGGATTCGTTTGTAGGCAAGTTATTTCATATGCTCATTAAAGTTATATGTCACCGTTTCCTAATGCATTGCTCGATTTATCTTATTTGTTATCTTCCTCTCAAGTGATTGGCTGTTGCTTGATATCCCAGTATGGCTGCGCTTGATGTGCATGTTGACAAGGTGTCTACCTATCTATTACCCACTACCTCGTCCATACTGGCTCCAAGAGACAGTTCGTCGTTGCTGGAGGGGACGGGGTGCACGGTCTTTGTGGCCGTGTTAGGATCAAAGAGTGGTTCCATGCACTCAGTGTGGAGCGGACTACGGTCCAGCCACCGCCTTGTGTGCGCTTGATTCCCAAATACAGCGTGTCTGTGTTTGCCTGTGAAGGAGTGTGGGCCGGCTCCGTTGATGAAACGTGGCTCCCATCCACATGCCTCCCGGTCTTATTCCTTCGGGTTTACACTGGAAATGGGGTGTGCGATTGGAGCTGTGGCTGGTGCAGCGCAAGCCACCCATGGTCCCTCTGTAGGCGCAGGCGTCCAGTGGCTGGCCACAGTGACAGGCAAATCCGAAACCGGATGCCGCCAATCATATATGTGTATATATGTATATATGGCATCTATTGTGCAAGTCACAGGCGGGGTTGCGAAGTGCCAGATGTGACTTGCAGGCCGCATGTTTGACATGCCTGCCATAGAGGTCATCACTATTGATGGCTGAGCAGCTGTTGCTTCCCTTGGTGCATAGATTTAAACTTACGACAAGAAGGCGGGATTATGTGACCAGCAGACAAATCACCTTGTCGGCGATTTTCTGGAATGCGAACTGCTTTTCTCAACATCCGCAAACTGAATATCCACTGATTACGTGGTCACCTCAGCAAAGTTACACGCCGCACCCCTTCATATGCGGTGCAGCTTCGAGCGTCACTGCCTGTTTTATCATTCCCCCATCTGCCTAGCCACTGTTGACGTAGGCACTTCTTGTGACGCATACGGGATTGCTTATTTCACCGATCTGGTGTGCGTCGTGTAAACTCGAGAATATACCTTATCTTATTTCACCACTATCGATGATCAGATCGACCAATTTTATCGTGGAGCTGAGTGACAATGCATAGCTGCCACACAGCGACTACGCGCAGACATAATTGAAAGTGCGGGTCTTTGTGGTTTGGCAGTCTTCATTCACGAGGTAGCTCAGCGGAGTAGCCCACATGGTCACTGACCCAACTGCTTACTAGCAGCAATCATTGTTACTGACTAGTGTTAGTTTGAATCAAATAAATTTCAGTGCGCCCCTGCTGTCATGTACATCGCTACACTACTAACTGAGGTGTCACAAAAAGCCCAAAAGTTGAGATCCACGTGTTAAGGAACCGTCGGCCTCATTCTCGAATCCGCTTGGTGACCAAACCATTACTATAACCAGCTAGCCATCTGGAAACCTAATCTAACATCCAAATCTTCACTCGCCTGGGTGTATAAACCAATTCCTTGACTTGACTACTATTACTCTGACGCCACATGTTTGTAGTTAGAGCTAGTGTCTGGTTTTCCTTAAAATCGGTTTTTGTAAACTCATTTTCTTTGGAATTGAGGAAAAAGATGAAAAAGTAATGCGATTGTGCAATCGACTACCTCCGCTAATTTTCATTATGCACACTATCGAATTGGTTCAATGGAGTTGGTGGACACGGCGCTACTTCGGTGCGTTTTCAACTGCGTACCTCATGGATATCTAAACTCAGCGGGTCCACGTTTCCGGAGTCCACTGATACCAATGAATATGTGACATCCATCAACACCTGTGTGGTTCTTGCGATAACAGTGAGCAGTTTTGCTAGAGATGTATGCTTAAAGGCGCCGCTCTATTAGTCGCAAAACTCGGTATCGTAATATATATGGTGCCAGCTGCTTTCACGTGTCATCAGCGGCAAATCGCATGTAGAGGAAACATTCCGGAACATTGGATGAGATTTTTCGGCATCTTTTTATGACAAGTTGAACTAAACTGTTGGATCTCAGTTAGCTACACCTGGTGCTTCCAATCGGTAGCCCGAGTAGTTGGACAGTGATTGCTCTCCTGGTATACTGTTGGACTGAGGCGTTAGAATCGTTCTTGGTCAATTTCGCTTATGCTCGTTAAATCACTGTACAGCCGTGTTTAGGCCCAAAGAGCGCATTCTGACGACACTCAGTTGACACAGCTTTGCATTCTCTAAAGATATATCCCCCTGGATCCCTTAGAGAGCAATAGATCTGATGTACCACATCTTTCATCGATTAAGATTCTACTGTATTTTCATGGTGTGGTAATCGTCCCATTATACTCAGAATTTAGAGCACAGGCGCGTGAATCGCTTTCTGAAGTCTCTTTGGACTGGACGCATTGGGGAAGAGCGCGTACTCAGGCACAATAACCACACCTTCACAGTACCTCCAATGGCGTTGACTAGCACCCTGCACTTGTGACTAGTTACTCAAATAAAAGTCTTCCTAGCCCCTCCCAAACTCTGGTAACAACTATGAAGGCTGTTAACTAATAGGTCAAACTAATTATTTCGCGACAGACATTCACAGAGAATGTCCGCATTGGGGAACCTTCAACCAAGCAGTTAGCAACCCGTCGCCGGAAATCTGGATGTGTTTGTTTTTATTGTTTCTTCATCCCTACCGACAACATGCATACCTCAGTATGGTTTCATTTCATTTATATTTTAGGCCAATGCTCGCGAGTTGGTGGACATTCTGGATTTCTTCAGAGATACCAAGAATTTATGCTGTGTGTGCAAGCATTTACTTAGCCAGAAAACTATCTCGGTGAGTTGAACACCCCATGGGATTGGTGGGAACCCACCAAGTTGTCATTCCACCTTCTTCAGTGCATTTTCTTCGTCTGGAAGACGGTACTTTTTCCAGCACGTAACAAAGCAAGGCGGCATGCGTTTGGTATCTTCGGATTCACAGAAGTGGGTTGTGGATGCTCTTGTGAGCAGCCGACTTGATTTGTGCAATCACGTAGTTGGTCAACTGGACAGATTAACCTGTCCACCCGGTTCCGAAACAGCTCTAAACCACATGGCTCTCGATTTGAATCTTTTAGATTCCCAGTAGATTGGGTAGGTGGTGGGTGGGGGTGCGCGGGTGGCGCAGCATAATCTTTCCATGGCCCCATTACAAGGTGGAGGTCGTTGGCCATTGTACACCTACGACACGGGCACTTGTGCTTTAGTACTTTGGGTGCACTTAGTTGGTTATCAGTATTGCCTTCAAGGTTGCTCAACGAACCACGGTTTTTTCGTCCGACTTACTCACTTGGATTCGGTTGAAGCAATTCAATTCGTCGTGGATCGCCCATTGTCATGTATAATGCTACAACAAAGACATCACCATCCCATAGTTGACGTAGTCACAGTGACATTAAAACCCAGAAATGCAACTATTTCCCGGTCACTGATGGTCTGTAAACTGTGAGCTTGGAACCACATTATTCTTTATTGATAGGCGGCTGTTGGGTATTACACAAATATCTACATTGCGAGATATTTGGCCCCAGTCGACAACTCTGGGAACATTGAAAATGGTTCACTTAAATGAATACGTGAACAGAGTTTATTATTACTTAAAGTGTTCTGGTGAAGACTATTCGATGTCGACTATTCATTTGTCTTGCCTCTGGTTTCCTTAGAATTCTATGCGTTATCTAATGTCCATCATAAAGAGCTAGGAGAAAAACAACTTGTTTATTTTCTTATAACTCCTTAGTTTAACTTTCAATGTCAACTGAGGGTAATTCCTAGTCGTTAGCTAACAGTTTCTCCGAGCCCCTAACAGATGCATATGCCGAGCTTTCAACAACCAGTACCTTCGGCATCATTCGTTCTCATCACTCCTTCCGTGTTCAAATAAACTTCGATGTTTTGCTAAAAGTTTCTCATATGTACCCCACATTGAATTGAAAAGTGAATTTTAGCTGGTACTACGCCAGGTGATTCAACCCAGCTTTACTTCTGCTCTACCTGTTTCTGCAATTTTGCATTGTCACTAATTTCCTCAGATGACAGAATCCTCTTCAGAAGGCACATCTTGTTTGGAGGAAGCGGTCGCCATGCTTGAACGTTTGTACGGAGTAAGTCTGCGACACGGACCATATTTGATCTGTTCACTCTGGTAATCCGGCGGAATCGTAGCACAGGCACTGCTGGCCGCATACCACCAGTGGAATATTCGAACATGTTGCAAACCCAAGGCCAGGGGAGGCAAGGTGGCTTCACCATCAAGCGAAATTGGCCGTTTTCAAACTTTTACAGGCCACAGGCAATAAAACAACCATCACTTTAAAGTGGATGTCATCCCATACCGTTTATGATAGTACCATCTGACTTCTAAACTAAATATACGATAGAGAATTGGGCACTTTCCAGCAGATGAGATTTTAAAATATACAAGCATACGTTCAAACATGGATGTCAACGTCATCATAAGTCCAAACCAAACCAGTAGCTGCCCCTATTCTGCAACCAAAGGTATGGTACTGCGGTATCTATAGGGCAAAGATGCAGCGTAAATTTGCTCTATCTGATACAGGCCAAGCGTCACAATATAAATAGATTTCCGGTGTTCACAACTGGTTGGTCACTGTTAACCGATTGAGTAAACAACCAGTCGGCCACCGGCTCTACTACCCTGTATCCACCACGAAATACCTTACAAACAGAATCGTTCTACCGCAGCGGTTTCGGTGGCCCACTGCACCACTGCATCAGTGCATTCCTTATTGGGTGAAAATGAAGGATACAGCTGGATGACTAGCTAACGGACTAGTAAAAATAAATAGATCGCCAGCTGTACGCCGTAACGGCGCTTCGCTGCCACATGACCACCATCAGTCGCGCGTGGTCTGAGTATACCGCGAGGACGCCCGCCCCTACGCGGATTAACGGACTGGTACCCTTCCGATAGTGGTGTACTCCATGGCAAAGTACTGGGGGCCATTTTGCTTCCATTCACATCACCGCAGTACCTCAGCTTCTTCGGTCGCCTTGTGCCTTGTTCGCAGACAACGTACTTCAACATAACCGCGACCGCCTGTTCATGTGATCCGGTAATCCATTCAAATGCTTATATGTGATCATGGGGAAGGATGGCGGTGGGCGTAAGTACACTCTAGCCGCCTAACAGCTACATCTCATATCTTCCGTGAAGGATCTCGGCGTACTCCCACGCTGTGATTTGAAGTCCGTAAATAACACCAACAAGCTTTATGGAAAAAGACTGGGATCTTTTCCAGTTAAGCCCCGCCAAAAAGTTAAGCCCCGCCACCCAAAAAAGATTATGAAAAGGGAGGATATGGAACTTGCACTTTTACTCTATTGAAGAGGGTGAAATTGCGACAAGTCATTACTAATTTGCATGAAAAGGTCCATTTTTCGGTGTCTTTGCCTCCAAACGAACTCACACTGGTAGCTGTCCACTAAAGATCGGTGTGTGCCGCATTGGCGCTTATTCTGCATCTTGTAAATGTGCCAGAGAGATTCGATGATTTGTGTGTGAGCTCCAGTCGTTGGATCCACAAAGTTTTCGGTATGATTAACCGTTTGATGAATATAACTCATGACAATCATCGATTCAATGCATTGGTATGATGCCCACATATCGGAAATGATAACTGAGCCGGGAGCGATGCAGGCATGGATTGTGTCCAGCAGAGTGGCCGCAGTTCGATCTGGCACTGCATACAAGAACACTTCTTTAGTCTCCCGGCAAATCCCTCCGAAAATCCACTGCTGGGGAAGGACTCGCCTTGCATGGTTTCATCGATCTCGACATGTAGACCTGGGCCGCCGACAATCGTTGGAATGTGCAAAAGCTGCCAGGCGCAAATTTCACGCAGAAAGTTCTTCCAGTCGACAGCGGTCGCGTGGCCAATAGATAGCAGAATTTGATTGTTGTCAGATTTTCGGACCAGCAATAATTGAATAGGATTATTGTCCTGAAATTCATCCTCGACCGCTGCAGCCAAGTTCCCTTTCGAAGACCGATTTCTTGCCGACACTGTCGGGCATCACACCTCCACCTGTCAGAAACAGTTGAAAGTGTCATTTGGTGTCCTCGTCTGCATAAACGTTGATGATGAATCACTCCATGGCTTTGCAAAAAACGTATTGCTGTTTCCTTGTCATGAACGACCGCCGAAAGCGTCAAAGTTCATGTCAGGTTTTACGTGCGAACGTAGAAACTTTTTGGACAAAAATGACCTTAGAAGCGGATAAGGAGTGTTTTTATGGGGCACGTTCACATGCATTACGTACACTGGAGCTGACAAACAGTGGCGGGGCTCAACTTTTCACGCGTGCCCTTTTTGCACTATTGGTGGGGCTTGACTTTTCAGGTGTACCCTTTTAGCCTTAGTGGCGGGGCTTAACTTTTTGCGCGTGCTCTTTTTGCATTAGTGGCGGGGTTTAACTGGAAAAGATCCAAGGACTGCGCCTGCTTAGAGCACTCAAACCCAGCTTCTGAATTTGTTCTGAAGAGATTGCCACTCTCCTCTTTTCTTCCGTCATAAGACCAAAACTCGAGTACGGATCACTCGTCTATTTCCCGATCACTCTTGACGAGCTGCAAAGACTGGAACGGGTCCGGTATGTAGCTACCAGACCCATCCCTAGTTTACGGGGTACGTTTTAGGAAGACCGGTGCTGACGCCTAGGCCTGTACACTCTGCCGTATCGTCACTTTGTAGTTGACCTCATTATGGCGCGTCGGATATTGCATCTCGGTCACTTACCGATGCTGAGGCCACTGCTGCACGTGCGTGCAGCAAGTAGTAATCGCCATCACCGGTACAAGCTTGTGGTACCGAGCCTAAAGCTGATAGCTCATCCTATTAGCTTTAAGACGTGTGGTGAGATAGTGGAACAGTTTGCCCGAGAAAATAGTCGAGGCGGAATAGTTCTTGAAATTTAAACAATTCCTAAACACCCGCTTTTCGTATCTCAGATTTAGGGAGTGCATCGCACCCGAATAGCCTATGGCACAGCTGTAATATACGGCAAATGCGCAGGAATCAGTGATGTGACTCCGCGCACGTGCCCACTCTAACTATGATGGAGCAACACAGATGTATATGCACTAGCTATCTCTACTTAATATTCAGTATTCACCAATAGCCTTACAATGCTCGTACAACCTGATCGTACCGTGATCTTTCAATTGCTCCCAAGACACTTCTGTGGCCAGAGCTCAAATGTACTCGCTGCGATAGCCCAGATGATCAGTGTGCTACTTTGCAAATTAAAAGTCTGCTAACACCTTCGAAGCGCACTGAATGCGCTTGATCATGCTGATCGTTTGCAGGGCCAATAGTCTGCACTTGTCATTGTCAGCTAGACTGAGGCTGTCTAATCCTTCTTTAGGCTTCACCTTACACTTACCAATACGCTTACGGACCTGTTTTCTGACCAGCACTTCTTCCCACCTCAGTGATTTTGAGCGCAATGCTAACATTACTATGACTAGTTTCCGCTTAGAAGATAATGCATGCAGCCTCCACGTTATACTGAACATTTTAGTTACCAATGTGTTTTCTAATTCACTTTCACTTGCTCCTCCGTAGTAACTCCAGTTTACCGTCAGATGCTTTTTCGCCACTTAAATATTGCATCTTTCAGTTGGGCAAAATAGTCATTGCAGTCACGGCTGTTTGTTTCATCTCAATACGTGTAGTTATCCGGAAGGTAGCTCTGACTGCAAGCTTTATCTCATGTAACAATTGGGCGAGTGACCATGGTATAATCCAACTGACACATACTCGGTTACGGCAATTACAATCGGTACAGTTGAGTAGCTTAACGTATAGAAGGGTATAAAGTTCCGGAGAAAACATTTTCAACTGTGTACCACACTACCTTTATGACGTCATCTCTTTCATTTGAGAAGTTGAGGAGTTGCAGCAGGTGGCACTTTGTCGTTTAAATGGTTAGACCAATGCACCTGCTGTCAATCTCCAATCTCAATGTATCTGAGAGTGATTTGATCGGATGATCATTCAAGGTCGTCCGGATCCGGTTGAATAACCTTTTGACCTCGTCGCAGAGCACGTTCCGCATACATTTATCGTATCCGCGACTGATGTACATGTCGAGTTCGCACGAGCACTGCGGCTATCTGCGGAACCTGAATGTGCTCTTCTCGTGCTCTGTCTTGACATTGAGCTATGACACAAAGTAAAAAGTGAAGCTTATTTCATTATTCAATATGACGACAACAGACGTGTAAATGTTAGTAAAACTGGTATATCCTCCTATGGATGAAGTCTCGCTAAGTCGGTCATACATGGCTATACTTTAATATTCTTCTACTATCAGGGAGTATCGATCTTTGCACGCAAAGAAACTACCGGTACATTAGATTGGGTGGTTTTCATTTGCATTGCACTGTGAAATTAATGTATCATTTCCAAACTTGAACTGCAAGACGTCGACACTTTAACCGCCTTTCGATTATTCGTACGCTTCATTCGGGCTGCAAAATTCACCCTTTCTCCTCGATAATAGCTCAGCAACAAGGGCTGTGACCCAATGCAAAACGTTCACTTTTGGGTTGCCCATTGGTCGGCATTATCGGGGTGTTCACTTTGACATACAATGAATTGGCTCATTACACAAGTGGAGTACTCTACCACCGGATTTCGCAGTAAATCGTCAAGCAGCCGTATTTCGTCACACACAGACCGATTGACACAGTCTACTGCTTACGACGGACTCCAATCCTGTACACTGCAAGGTAAACTGGCATCAGGCAACACCATGATATGGAGTCCACTGGATACAAGATGAATCCTTCTTACAATAACACCATTTCTGCCACCGTGGTACTCGCGCTTCCCAAGTTTTATAAAGCAGTTTTCGGGATCGCGTATATCAATAAGCGGATTTTCCACCACTGATTTCAGCGCCATTCGGCTGAAACCCAGTTTATATCTACTTAGGTGATCGCCGCTAAGCTGCTCTGAACACGAATGGTGCAATTTTGCTAATGAAAACAAGTTTTCGGGTACCTATCAGTCTGTCTGGCTAACTGTGCATTACGGGTCTTCACCGCTGTGTAAGACCGGATGGCCTGTTTAATGGTTGCAAATAATGACCACCAGGGGACGGCTCAGGGGGTGTGCACTACTGGAACTTCACTCCGATGATCACAGTTGGCGTCTCGAAACCGAAAATTTGTAATACACCGAGGTATGTTAATCAGTAACATTTAGGGAACCCTTCCCAACACCAAGTGCAACAATCTTTGAGGATTCGGAGTATGGGTAGATCTGTCTCTCCGATGGGCACCATAGCAAAGACTGGCGTGCATGCTTCCCACCGGGTTGCCCGAAGTGTACACGCACGACCCGCGCATGCGCACGCGTGCTACCCGGGCATGCGCCGGTTGGTGTGGTGACTTATCGATCGATCACATGGCACCACACCGGTTTGATGTGCGTGCTGACTCGCATTGCCCCAGAATCAGCCACCGGAGCCTATCCATCGGTCATATGGCCCTCATCTGGACGGTAGTAGTGAGCAGTGACGCCAGCTCCGCCGCACACAAAGTTCAAAAGCAGCTTTATTTGTTCCTTTTGTGGACTGCCGCGTTACATCCTGGGCAGATTGGCACCACAAAACTTACTGTGCGACATCCGCTGTTAGGTTTTGGTGCGAGGTCAGAGGCGTAGCATATTGGAAGCGGGAGGGGGGGGTGGTCCGCCACGGCGGCATGTGACAGGGGGTGACATTTTTAGTAACGTCGATTGTTCAATATCAAATATCACGGGCAGAGCAACCGGAAAAGCTGAAGGTTGAAGATTTTGCTGTTACTCTGTATGACCAGCAACTCATTTGCGCTATGGTCAGACCTTCGCAAACGTTCTTCCCAGCAATACCCTTACATGTTCCATTGTGGTCACTTTCACCGCATTTATCAGTGTCAAAAACAATCATCCATTTCATCGAAGACTAATGTGCACTTTACTCCAAGCCGATTGTGTGGCCTGCAAGCGCCTATACTGCCCTCATTCATGTCGAAAAGTTTACCATGTCAAAGTTTATCGCTATCCGTCTTCCAATAACAAGACCTTTATTCATAGCAAATTCCGAACCTGCCCGAATATTTCTTTGCCTTTATCACGTCCGCCAAAATTAAGTTCGAGTGAACTACTCCCCTCGTTTGACACCCAAAAAGTGCCAAGGCTGGAAAAGGCTTTGGAAGTGTACAATAATTATCTACTCGCAGGTACGGAACACCGAGAACTGGATCAGTGAATATGCAGGACGAATATTTAGAAAGCTGCTCAGAATTAAACTAAGCCGTGCTTGTCAGTTGTGTTTAGTAAGAACAATGGAAAAGTTTCTACCGTGATCAACTCACGGTTCACACTGAGCGTCGCAATCCACTCACACACCGAATGACCCAAATAGAAAAGTGTTTTTTTCATGAGCACAGTTCTACCTATTCTAGGTTGCTGTGGTTTTCAATACATTATTACTCCTACAGATTTTGTCTCGCATAATGGACTCGAACCTCGCGGTTGAATACAAAACCCCTGGTATTTTTTCGCCCCAAGGATGCATTTGGAATATGTCCTCCAAAATGTCAAGCTATGGGATAAAGCGACTAACTCATATTCTAAACACAATTGTGTGGTATTTTTTGCATGGACTTATTGCTCACTCTTTGCTGCACCCCTCCACAATTCCAGCACGAAATCTCATCTGCCGTGCACACTGCGGTCGTTGAAATCTCCGCCGAACTCCCGTGGGACTCAGAAGCCCAGTTAAAAAGTGCAACAAACGATACGATCAAAGTCTTCAGTCGTCATAATCTACTCCTTCTAGGTTTAGATACGATTTGGATTTTTATTGTTGCCGTACGCGCAGGCACTGGTCCGCCCTCCAACTTAGCTGGATCGGTCAGTTCTTCGGGGTCCACTATCACGCGCCGGAGTATTGGGACTCACTCGGGTAGCCAGTCCCAATCGGTCAATTTGACATCCGCTCGAACACTGTGTGTCGATCGTTGGCTCACGGCGCAAGATGAACGCTTGATGGCTTGGTGCTTAGCAGTGACTGAAGGGTGAGTTCGAGTGTGGCAAAGCTGGAGTGATGTGTCTGTCCTGGACTCTTGTGTATACAGTGCATAAAGACCATCACCAGAAGATTACCTCATGCTTTAGCCATTTATATACCGACCATAAAGTGTCTGAATACTGAAAGAAAATTCCAAAAATAGAAGCAAGCTTCTATTATGGTTTGCAATGAGCTAGGGTTTATCCATCTGCGCCTGTCTTTTTGGTAGTCTCACTCCTCCTATGCTACGGAACACCGGTCCTCTCTTTATGTGAACTCTTCGGATAAGCATTCACCAACTGCGCTCAATCACAACGGTCCCGACAACTACCAGCTTGTACACTCAATAAAGCACTTAATACACTATGTGGTGAAGGATCTGACAGTGTACGTCTAAGTTCTTATCCACAATTGTCCTGATAGGTAGCCACAGTACGTCGTTTGCGAAATTAACACCAAATGAGGTCTGAAAGCATTTACCTGTTATGCCCTCTCCAGGTGTCGCTGCAATTTTGTAAACTACTAGATTCAATTTCGGTGTTCGGTTACTTAGTTTTGTTGCATGATACCAATCAGTTCCAATGGTCGGCTTAGTTTGGACTCCAGTACATAAAGCTGTTACAATACAACACAACTTTGTGCGTTGGCTATGAAACGGAGTACACATGATGTTTACGTTGGGTGAATCTGTTTCGGCACATTCGAATCATCAAGGTACTCACCTGCTCCTTATGCAACCCTGTCGTACTGAATGATGATACTTGCCTGTCATGGTGCAGCTACTCGTTTTGATGTAGAAGTGTCTATTGCTGAGGAGTTTGAAAGCATTAACGCTACTATGTACGTGGGATCATCGTCAGGTGTACAGTGCCCGTTTTCTTTAAGTATCCAGTTTTCGCACCAATTAGGTTGCATTTCTTTCTCCCCCACAGCACTACTAATCCTAAAACTAACAGGTGCGAAAATGGCTCCATTGGACTTGCTAGTTTGTGTTCCATGGGCTCGATTGGACAGCTGAAGTCATTTCAGATTGATGTTTGTTAGGTACTGCCCGATATCAAACAATACTGTAATCCACCACCGGTTTGGTACACATTGCACCCGTAGGTTAAAAATAGCAAGCTTACAACCCAAAACCTTTAGGATGTCTAGTCACAGCGGCAAACGCTTGTCACAACGAGCAATGGCCAAGTATGGGTCATCACAAAACTACACGTTGCGTGTCGAAACCCATCCACACAACGGCCACTTCAGAATGATCCACATTTTCGACTATTCGTTCGGCTTATGGACAAAATTATTTTATAAAGTGACTACTTTTCACCATGTAGTAGTTCAATGTATAAATCTGTTGACTCTCCCTGTGTTTCCCGAGGAGAGTTGTTTGGTTTTGTTGATTTCGAAATGATTTTGAGCATTAGGCCTAAGTATTCTTTCACTTTGCAGGTATTTGGGTTTGAACATCTGCAACTTCACACATTCCTGGCGCGATGGATTAGCTTTTCTAGCCATTGCCCACCAAAGCCGGTGAGTGTGCAATTTGGTTTGATGGTTGGACAAACATACAACCGGTTGTTTTTTCATCGACCAATTGCTTCCGCCTTGGCACTTGCTGTCATAACTCTACTTAGTTTGTCTGCATAATTTTGTTCCCGACCATTTGTTTAGTATTTTTTAGAGCCAGTTGTTATATAAAGCATCACTGTTAGATAATCTGACCTTATGGAAGTACGAAGTAAGCAACTAAACTCAGCTGTTTCACAACCTTCTTACAAATTGTATTTTGTCTGTTGAATATAGTTAGAAATAAAGTAAATCATTATGACGCTTATTTCACAGTGAAATATTACCAATTTTATGAGGTTTGTTGCTTCCGCGGTTTTGTTTCCTCCGGGATGGATGTTTGGCTTATATTCTAAACTAGAACACAGTTATCGCACGATCACATGGCAGAACATGTGGGTATGCCTGAGGATAAGAGCAGGTGTGACTGAACTGACCCGTTCATTGGTATGCACTGTGACATCACATCAGGTTTCCACGTTCTGGCGCTAAGGAATGAAGAAACCTGTGCTGTTTGTCAGCCGCGTGAGTAGAGTTTGATCACTGCTGGAAAATTCAGTATAATTCTGCTGTCCTTAACACAGCGAGGTTTGTGGGCATTTTTGTTCGCTAAAAAGGAATAGAGGATGATGTAACAGGTGCACCGGAGAAGTACGCTTTCTTGACGGTCCGTACAAGGTTTGAATAACTTGCCGCAAAGATGTAGTTGTAGAACCTAACTAACAGATTTTGCTTCGCTTATCGGCCACATCTAACAATACTGATGCAAAAGCCATTTTATGTGAACACTGTTCAACTCACATTACTTACTGGTTAATACGGCTGGACGGCGATGACTTTATAGAGTGACATTTACATTGACCTTGTAACCCACATCAACAGGCTAGTCATAAAAATGCCGATTATTACAGAAAGATGTCGTGTGTCTTGTAATTCACTTCGAAAGGCATCCGACATTTAGTGAAAGGCAGTAAGCTAATTCGAGCCGTTTGTGATATCATCGTGCGGTTGTTTGACGATTCCCGAATGACTCTAGTCAATTTAGATTCCAGTAACAAATATACCGCACCTGTTGGAATCCTAAGACACAATGGCAAATGTGGTTGATCATCCTGAGCCGGAATGTGGGATCTCGTGCTCAGCTAGCGTTATGATGGTGACATGTTACAGCACGTTTCTTCGGAGAGAAAGCGAATTCAATGCACGACTCCCATTGAATAGAAGACTGTCATGAATCGTGAATCCATCGTAATCGTTGCAATGCGGTGTTTGTCCGGTCGGAAACTGCTTCCATTTTCTTGGTAACCCATTCAGCTTCAGAAGTCTCACCGGTCATAAGATCTGTGTTGATACAACATTGTAGTTCTCCCGAACGGACCAGTTACTAATACGTGTTGCACCAAGGTAAACTACCATCTGATGACCCACCACTCCTGGTAAATGTGACCTAAAAATGTCGTCTGCATTTAAGATATGTGAAACCGCCGTATGCACAACATCCATGTGATAGTTTCGATAATGACTAGAAAGCACTGCAGACTTCATCAGACGTTGAATGACTTTTAGTGGTGATTGAGGTGAGTGATCTATGATATGTGTTTACTGAGGAGATTCGTCTCACATACAACTGTAGGTATCTGCATTTTAAACTTGTTCTAGCAATATTATCGCAGAACCGCTGATCGTAGAGTTTTTTTATTGGCATCAGAACGTCGCTCATTCTGTTCTGGCCACTGGTGCACTGCACAGCAGTTAGGTATTCCAGGTACTAATCTTCCGATCCTGGTTGGGTGATACTCGTAATACCCCTTCTTTTTTCTAATTCGCCTCTTTGTTAGTGAACCTACGGATTGGCATCATGATATGTTTTCTTGTTTTGGTCCGAACCAGCTTAACTTATTCATTAGTTTAGAATCCCTGCTTTTCTAAAGCACAAAGCGTTTCTCATACAGCATTTACTCCCGCTGGATCGGACCTGATCTCTTCTGACGATACAACCGACTCAGGAATTATAATTCCTTTTTCGTAACTGGACCAAAAACAAACGCAAAGGGCTGCGATTTAGCGTTCCTATGGTTTGGCGACAATCTACGAACCATATAACAGACTGCTATTGTTGCATGGTTAATGCAAAATGTATTGGCAAGAAAAATTGGTACAAGCTCTCCTATCCGAGTATTTTCTCTGTAATTCGACCCACTTCACACTCTGAAGAGCTTCCAGTTCCAACAATTAGCGGTTTTGCTTCATCAGATGATGCAGTCGGCGGACTTGAAGATGGGACCTAGTTACATGAATCAGCTACAACTTATGAAGACTGCAACTCATGCTGAATTTTCATCAGCCCCCAAGAATTCAGTCAACAAGATTTGAATGACTTAGCGCGTGATTTGGGCTCTCCAAGGGAGAGGACTGGGTTATTAGCCTCAGGCTACATGAAAAAATCTACTTAACTGCACAGCAACAGTTTCCTTCTTCCGAAAACGTGACTAGAGTTTCTTCGGCTTTTTGTCAGAAGACAAGCAGTTTGTTTCTTGCCATGATATTCCAGGTCTCTTATTGCAATTAGTGATTGTGTCGTATAATGCACGTGAGTGGTGGTTAATTTGGATAGCTCAACGTGTATTCTGAAGTGTGTTCTATTGCATAATGACAATGTAGCTGGAGCAGTCCCAGTGGGCTACTCAGTGAATTTGAGATAACCACACAGTGTCACTGGGAAAAACTTTTCTTAAAACTTTCCATAGTCGATTTTCATAAAGTCTATACCTTACAGAGAAAAACAGAGGTCAGCTTTGAATTCAGCATGCTTAAGGGATCTAAGAACCACTGGTTGTTTTTTGCATAGAAATATCGTTGTGCTTTGTGATCTATCGAAAGTACTTAAAAGAGGTTAAAATGGTCGATTTTCAAAAAAATATGTGACACAGAATAAAAGAATGCCAGCTTTGAATTCAGCATGGTATTATACACACACACATACACACACACACATATATATATATATATATATATATATATATATATATATATATATATATATATATATACAACTGTTCGCTTCCATGCAGCAAAAATGTTACCGTGTTGTCGCCACCGAATTTTGTTTGACTTTTTCGCTCTCGCGTTCTATATTCTACTGAGCAGAGCGTTGTCGGAGAAAATAGCGTTCTGTTCTTCATTCTAGCCACGATCCGTTGCAACTGCCGATCCATACGTAAAGCCATCGTGCTCATCTAACATTTGTGGCAACCGTTTCTGAGAACTCCATTCGATACCTTTCTGCCAAGTGACTGACACTAATACCGGGTCGGAGTAGCGTCGCGACGAAGCTTGTTAGGACCTTTGGGTCACTGTTTGGTCCCATGTGTCAGAAGACGAAACAGAAATCTACCTTCAATTAATACTTTGACATGGCCAAGATCAGGACATATTTTCAAAGCAGGTGACTTACGTGGACTTCGGCTGTTGGCTCCGATCAATGATATCAGATCGATATATATTAGCACCTCAGCTATATTTCTTATTGCGATCGCCACTTGAGTATCTTAATGTCCGGGAGAATCAGAAACGCTCTCGGTTAAAAGATTTTACCCCCATACTGTCCTATTATCCGGGGCGAGGCAGAAAAGATTATGCGAGTGCGGCATGTGGTCATCAGAGTGAACCCCAATCTACGAGGTGTGCAGTAGGAAGACCAGTGTAGGAGACTAGGGCTTTACACCCAATCTTATCGTCGATTGCCGTTGACCTCATCATGAGACACCGGATACTACATCTCGGTGATTAGCCCATGTTGAGGCGGCTGCTGCATTTGCACACACCAAGAAGCACACGAGGACACCGGTACAAGCTTGTAGTACCGGATTTGAAGCGAGTCGCCCACCAACTGTTTCGAACGGAGATTGGTGAATATCTAGAACAACCTACCGTCACACATAGTCGAGGCAAAGTCGGTGTCGGAATTCAAGAAATGCCTGGACAAACACTTTGCCGACTTGTGTCTGCTTAATAACACTGTGACGCCAGCAAATAAAGTCACTGCTCCTTGACTCTCCAAACGATGTTCCACAACCTGCGGACGTCGTTCATCTACATTAACGAATTTATACGACCATTTCACACTCTGATGATCTGGCAGAACACAATCACAAAGATAACAGTACATTTACAAATAAAAAACCACATTTACACACATACCTACAAATTGGTATTCCTGCAACATAAATTGACTTTAACTGGTAAATTTTTAACGTTCCTGTACATTTACCGATCATTCATGTAGCTTTAATCTGATCATGCCTACGAAGGCGTGCCTCCCTTTATGGAGAATATGCTATTTATTTGTTTATATGAAATATCGTGAATGCTCTCCATCGCACCAAGTCTCCTTACCTGATGGATTTTAGATGCGGTTAACCAAAGACAGCTCTTTTGCTGCTTCCATCCAGTATTCAGGATTCAGCAACTTTAGTTGATCAGCATCGAATTACTGTAGATTGTTTCGTCTAGTTTGCGCATGAACAAAACTCAATTAGGCGCAAGTCTGTCTTGTTTCTGAACTGAGCTGACCCGCCCTGACCTGACCTGACCTCACCAGACCCATAACTTACGGTAAAGGTTTCAAGCCATTTCTACTATCTTTGGTGGCCGTCTTGATTTACAGGCCCTCTCATTAAGGTCTTTGACTTCTGATTTCATCGGCCGGGATCAGAGCATCGCAGTGAACCTTATTGTGCTAACTGGAATTGCAGTTGGGTAGGAAGACTCAGCGCTTAGTCCATATTTTGTGAGGTAAAAGTATGTCAGGCCATATTCAGTCTGACATCAAGATAATAACAAAAAGTATACATGTACGAAAAAAGTCCAAGCTTACATTTATTATTTTATGATGAGTTCGCGGGTCAGTTGAAATGTTAACGTGGGCCGCATTTGATCCGCAGGCCATACTTTGGACACCCCTG